AGAGGCTGTGGATGCCCCGTCCCTGGAGGTGTTCAAGGCCAGGTTGGATGGGGCCCTGGGCAGCCTGGGCTAGTATTAAATGTGGAGGTTGGTGGCCCTGCGTGTGGCAGAGGGTTGGAGATCCTTGAGATCCCTTCCAGGCTGGGTCATTTTGTGATTCTGTAATCGCTGTGATGCCTTCTATCTTGTATTAGGACTGCAAAGAACGCAGGTGAGCTCCATATGATGATGCCACAGGCACCTTGCAGAAAGGGATAAATAACATCTCACCAGACTGATGTTGCTTTTAAAACACCGTAGTCAGCACACACAATTTCATTAGCCAGAAAAGCAGTAGAATACAAGGAAATATCCCTTCCTTTGCTAACAGGTTGCATTAAATGCTGTCATCGCTGACAGCAGGCTGTGAGCTGCTGCACACTGTCCTACAGCATTCTCAGAAACTGAGCAGCTCTCTACATGCCTGATACAGAACCAAAGCTGCTTTAAAAGCCTAGCAACCTGAAACAAAAATATTCAAACTTATTGCTTCAGAGCAAATAAATCAAGCAACACTGCAAAGCTCATCACTGAAAGTTTCTGCATGCCAGAGCTGCTCAGACTGCTCTGTGATAACAGAACACGCTGCAACTACAGCTGGGTTATCCAGTGGTATTTGTACACAGTCGCCAGGCTAAAGCTAACAATTTGTTCAAGTAAAAGATGCTTAGAGAGCATTTAACTGGTGTGCTCTCTGTCCTTTATACATCTGATCCCACCCACCACCCCTGGAAGCAGAAGCAAACTGCTGCTGTGCTGAGATGTGATACAGTTGCCTTTGTGAAGCATCTGAAGGACAGTGAGGCTTAAATAGCTGCCCTGAAGTCACACGCTGAACCTGTGGCACATCTCACACAGCAGCTCTTTAACATGGCAGCAATAAGAAGAGTGTTAAGTTTGCTTTGCTTGCAAGCAATCCGGGGTAACGGTAGGGCTTCTCACGCTGGAATCACAAATCACTCAACACCGTGCAATTCAGAAAGAAGTGAGAGGACATGGGATTTCCACAGCAGGGCTCCATCAGGCTGCCGGGCCAGTGAGCCATCTCCTGTTATCTCCTGAGCGCACATATGGAGCACGAACTGCAGAAGTTAAATAGGCAACGAATCACAAACACAAAGCAACTCATCTGTATGTCTCTGAGAAACGCCCCTGAAGAAGCCTCATTCAAATGACGTCCCCTTACCTTGAGTAATGCTCAGAACAAACAACTCCAGATACCTATCACGGTGCATCCCACCTGCCTCCCTCCGCGGGGCTGAATTCAGCAAGGCATTTGCCAACTTCTACAGCCAGAAGAGGATCTGTTTACCAGCTGAGAAGCACGAATGAGACACACATCCAACTCAAGTGACCGCATTTGGCAAATGCTGCAGGTTTCCCTGCCACCTCTTGTATTTCATTAGGAGTCAGCTTCACATTTTCTTACAATTAAGAAATGGCCTACCTCACTCCAACACATCTCCACGTCTCCAAGCACATTTTCCTGTTTTTCAAGTATTTTTGAAAGATCCCTTCGACCAGAACAAGTCTAATCCTTATGCAGTGCATGCTTGTTAATCCAATCTGTTGCTTCACAAGAAAATACTAAAGTTCAAGTCTTTGAAGCTCACTGGACAAATCATTCCAAACCAGCATTATCTTATAATCACAAATGTTAAAGAAATAGAAAAGCAGAACTCCTATGGAAAAAGTGGCTAAAAACAATAAGTTAAAACATACGTAGATCAAGAACATGTCCACTGAATCTCATAATGCATGAGCATTCCACTGGAGAGAAAATACATCTGAAATTAATTCCACGTTTATGTACTTGATTTTGCTACCAATAGTGCTTTAACTGCCTTCAGCATATTTGAGATAGAGGTGCCACCACCTCCAGGGCCCCTGTTCCAATATCCAACCATCTTCACAGCCAAGAATTTCTCCCTCACGGCTCATAAAAACTTCTTGTTTGCGGTCTGTGTTCTTCTCATCCTCTCACTCCTGAGACTTCACCTTCTCAAAGGAACAGCTGTGACATCCCTCCCTCCCCTTCCCAAACCCCCCAAAGCATCTCATGGACACCGTGTGCCCTCAGACACTTTGCTAGGCAGCCTGTGCTGAGCTCTGGCAGCTCCCACCCTGCTGAGCACAGCCTGGATTGCAGGTGTGCCCACGATCCCACAGCCAAGTGCCAAACAGGAGGCCAAACATGCTGTTAAACTGCTGGCTCCCTACTGCTACCAGAGAACAGCCGTAAATGCAGTCTCCTTGAGCGTAGCTGTACTGAAGATGGTTATTCAGAGCAATTTATAACTCTGTGGTTGAAGTGCTAGGAACACAAACTGTAGAGCCGGTTAGCCATGCCTTTCATACTTAGCTTTGCACCCTAGAGGTGGCTGGGTATACGCCGTGGGTACCACCACAAGAGTCTATCCAACATTTTTCACACACAGAGTGGTGACACTGGAACAGGTTGCCCAAGGAGGCTGTGGATGCCCCATCCCTGCAGGCATTCAAGGCCAGGCTGGATGTGGCTCTGTGCAGCCTGGTCTGCTGGTTGGCGACCTGCACATAGCAGTGGGTTGGAACTGGATGATCACTGAGGTCCTTTTCAACCCAGACCATTCCATGATTCTATGATCTAGCTCAGCCCAGACATCCAACTGTTGCAGTCTCCATATAAACAAATCCAGACAACCACTCCATAGGTTCTGATGTACTTTATATATCCCAGTTACGCTCCCATTTGCGTGGCACCGCTCTCGTCAACACTGACACTGAGGCTGGCAGCACAGAAGCAAGGCCTTCAGTGCCTGGGACAGCACAAAGCAAGAGGCAGCAATGTACCTGGTAGCTGGGTGCGTGCAGGACGGGCACGGCGCCGAGCGGTGGTGGCACAGCCGGCTGCCCTTTGCTCAGTGCAGCAGCTCCTGCCTTCAAGAAGCGGGTTCATAGATTCTCCCAGCGCACCCACGATGCGTGTTGTCTCACATCACAGCCACCTGAAGAATGGAAAGCACACAGCATTCAGGAGCTGGCGGGAAGCACTGTGCAAGAAGTGAACGCTTGCTCACGTCAGGTTGAGCATTTTACTGAGCTGCTGTGTTCAGGTTGGACATCAGGAAAGACTTCTCTGAAACAGCAGTGATGCGCTGGCATGGGCTGCCCACAGCAGTGCTGGGGTCACCATCCCAGGAGGTGCTGAGGAACCACAGGGACGTGGTCAGTGCACACAGTGAGGGTAGGTTGGTCTAGATGATCTTGAAGGCTTTTCCAACCTTAATGGCTCTATAAGCCTTGACAAATCTTATTTTCAGGTAGAAACGGCCTCATTTTCAGTAATAGTAGCAGTAACAAGAGAGACACTACGGTCAGCAAGAGTCAGCACAGACAAGACAGACTTTTGGGAACGCATCAGTGCCTCGGGCTCTTAGCTTTGCCCCGTTCCATTTTTCTTTCATCTTGGTAAATTATTCATCTTATTAGTTCAAGTTTTATCTTTTGATCAAGCTTTTGTAATAGAGAATTTGGAAACGAGTTTCTTAGAGGGACAAGAGCTGTCAGATGGTAACCCATATCAGATCAAACCCAACAAAGTGGTTTTTAGGACAAGTCAGAGCCAAAGCTGGAACTTCAGAGCGTACGTGCAAAGTATTATTCTCTAAAAACCACAGTGTTGACATTACAAGGGAAGAAAACTGAGGAGAGATCGTATCTTCAGAGCCCTCGATCAAATTACTTTGTAATTCACCCACTAACCCATCCTCTGCTTCCCCGAAGAGACAGCAGTCTGGGACAGCAGCAGCTTGTGGATTTTGGAGCACTAAGGGAGAAACGGGAAGTAAAGACAGCACTGCAACCACATCCCCGGGGGACACAGAAACATTCAGGGGTATTTTAAATAACACAGTAACTTGATAGATTTTTTTCAGATATAAAACAGGGGTCAATGTGAAATTATCTGCAATCTGTACAAAACGCATAGAGCACAGAGCTATGCGGTGCTGGCAGTACCCTGTGGTTTCCCTCAGCAAACTTTTCTCAAAGTAATTGTCAGATATTAGATTCCAGTATTTCCGAGATGGTATCTGGTACTTCTTAATTTACCCCAGCTTCTCATCTTTGAAGCAATCCAGTTTCTGTCCCGGTGCCTAATTTCCATTTTACACATCCTAGAATTGCATTTGTCCTTCTGTCCTTGCAAGCCGACTTTTGAAAGATTCCCATCATTAACACATCTACAGAGAGCAAACCAAATCGCTCCCTTTCCAGGTCCTTCTGCTGAGATAAAATTATTAGATAATCATTTTCCTAACATGCTTTGGAAAGTTGGAAGTTGCCTCGGCTGGCTCTTGTGGAAGTCAAGGGCTTGGGCACTGAGCTGGGAGGGAGGGATGCCCAGCTGAGGCTTCAGACCCTCCACCTGCAAGTCCTCACTTGTGTGACTTGCTGTTCTCTTCACCAGCTGTCTGTTCTTGGCCATATTTTAATTGCTAGAATCTCCCTTTACATTTTTGGGAACTGTTCCCAAAGAAATCCTGCTGAGCAGAGCCGTGCCTATTTCATCACGCCGACTCTCCTGCCCATGGAGGTATAAATAGTGCCCACAGCTGTGCACTGCCCTCGGCCATTCACCGCCTCGCCAGTCTCGCAGCCTCCACCACCAAGATGCAGGCTGTGCTGACACCGCACAGTAAGTGGAACTGAAAAGAGAGCCGCGTATTGCGTCTTATCTCCCTTTTCACAATTAGCAACTTTCCCAACCCCTCTGTCTCTCTGTTTCCAAGGTTACAAGTGAGGCACGACAAAGGCAGGAAGAAAACCCAGGCATTTTTTGGCTCCCAACTTTGTTCCTTTTGCTGTTCAGCCATCTTCCCTTCCTACACTGCAGGCTTCGCTCTCACAGCAATTCACTTCAACAGCTCCACGCAGCCTGTTTTTTTTTTGTCAATTCCAAACAGTTTTGCCAACCTGGGTTTGTTCGCTCCTTGCTACATCCACTCGGAAATCGTGAGGGAAACCATACCCTGATGGGTTCTAGCTGAGGAAAGGACACGCACCTATAAAAGAAAGTTAAACCAAACTGTTCCTAAACGTACGCAAATGATGTGAGAGGAGACAGAAAACCACATGTGAAGTGCAAATCAGACCCATTGTTTTGCCCCATTTCTGAAAAAAACGCTGGAAAACACCTCCCCACCCCCTGAACCTCTTTGTTCCCCACAGAAGGAACCATGCAGAACCGAGTGCTGTCCCCCCTCTGCAGAGCAGCTCCGACGTCTCCCTGCCCTCCTCCTTCCAGCAGGATCGCAGTTTGCCAGCCTTGGCAGCCAGAGCCGTATTGAAAATAGAACCGAATCCCAAAATGTGATTTGGCAGCAGCTGCTGAGGCGCTCAGTAAGTCTGCTTCTCCTCTTTTCCACTTCCTTTCGCCCATTCTAATCTCGGGCAGAAAAGCCCTCGGACCTCTTGCAGCAGACAAAGGGCCCCGAGCGTGCCAGCCTGCACACAGCATGGCAGATGAGGGCACTGCTCTCACCCTCACGGCTGCAGGGCCTGAAGGCAGCACCCTGCGTGCCTCCCAGCCCTGGGGAATGCTCCAAGGAGACCTCATGTGGCCTTCTAGTACTTGGGGGGCTTAAGAGCGGGGGGGGGAACTGACTTTTTATGTGGTCTAATAGTGATAGGACAAGGGGGAAATGGCTTCTAACTACACGAGAGGAGACTGAGGTAAGATGTGAGAAGGAAGCTGTTTACCCACAAGGTGATGAGGTGCTGGCACTGCTGCCCACAGCTGTGGGTGCCCCATCCCTGGAGGTGACAAGGCCATGGATGGGCAGCCTGAGCTGCTGGGGGCACCCAGCCTGCAGCAGGGGGTGGAACTCAGTGAGCTTTAAAGCCTTTTCCAACCCAACCCACTCCACGATTCCGTATTTTACAGATATTTACAGAGAGAACACAGTGCTGTGCAGAAGGAAGCTCAAGCTTTTAACAAGTGCTTTTGCCTCAGGTGAGAGGAGTGGGATCGCTGCATCTCTGACAGCCCCAACTTCTCACTAGGGAGCACCGTGCACAAATTAAACCACCCGAAACACTCACCACGTGAAAGCAGGGACGGAAATATTCCCCTTGTTCAGAGAGCAGAGGGACTTCCCAAGCACTTGTAGCACACACCTCCTCCCTCCTCCCCTCTGCATTAAGCTCCAGAGTTTCTATAGGGCAGCCCTGGCCGTCAGCACCAGGAGGCCCATCTCACAGACCCACAGTGCCCATAAGCCACTCGGCCCAAACCAGGAGAACTGCTGGGGGCTCCTACTCAGGGAAAAGCCCCATGAGGCTACGAGCAGGGAGCTGAGGCCTGTCAGCTTTTCCTGAAAGACCTTTAAAGCCCTCAGTGAGTCACATTGGCCCACGCAGCAATCCGGCACGTTGTTCCCATCTGCCCTCCTCAAAGCGTGTGGTGCTCAGTACAACACCACCATACAAACAGCATGGACAGGCCAAAAGTCTGTGAGCGAATCGCAGCACTACTTCTCTGTATGCTTTTCAACCCAACGAGACCTAAATCAGGCTGCTACAAGACAGCCAGGACTGCAAAATCCGCTTCCCCGCTGCAGGATAAGCTGACAGCTTGTGGGGCCTGGATGGGAACTGCTGCACTGAAGTTACAAAAGCATCCACTGATAGCACCGAGCTCTTTTAACGCAGATCACTGCTGCTGACACCACTTTGCCTTTTTTTGCTGTTATTCGCATCTCATTCAGCTCCACAAGCGAGAATGCGTGCATTGTCCAAGCATTTGTTACAGTCAGCATTCTGTTCGGTATGAGAACATCATGCCCTACTTTATACGTTCAGTACATTTTTCAGAAGACTTCAAAAAGCCTATGTTTTCAGGAGGACTGCTTTCTGTCACTGGTTCTCATCTTCTCTGTAGCTGTGAACACCAGAAGACCTGAGGGCATCTCTGCAGTCTGCCTCGTCCCCTATCAAAACAATGAAAACGTGATCTTGAGGACAGTGATGAAACTTTGCATGGTGAGGCTTCCTTACCCAAAAACTATGACTTGGAAACAAGGCAAAGAAAAAAGCCACATTTACTCCAGGCATTCTCCTCCTATCTTAAAATGGAAACTGCTGATCAAATCTGAAAAATAGGCACCAAACTAAGCACTGCCCCTGCTTCCAAGACTTCCCCGTAGCTGAACAATACAGAATTTAATTCCAAACATGACTCCCAACTCACATGCTAACTTGAAGCATTCAGACGTGAGCAAAGTAAATACTAATCAGCAAGTCTGGCTGCAAGCTCCTGACTGCAGCGCAGCTCTTCCAGCCAAGGCAGAAATATGTAACCAGCAAAACCCATTGTTGCTCAGAGCAGAGCCCACCATGTGACCAGCACGTGTTTTAACAGCAAGTAAAACAAAAAAGATGATGATGCCACAGCCACAAACGGCCAAGCCTAGCAGGCCAGGATAAGTCTCTAGAAATACTTTAAATGATAAGAGCATAAAGCTTCACTATTGGAACTAAAGACTTAAACCTCTCACAACAGAAGCAGCAGCAGCCCAGTTGCTGGGATCGAAATACATTTCCCACTCTGTATTATGGCAACTAAAACAACACTGCAGCTCGCTGCCGGGCAGCAAAGTGAACGAGACCATGGCAGTGTTTTGGGTCTAATTTTAAACTCTGAATACCTGACTCCAGGCAAGCTTTTCATTCTCTTCTTCGTTAATTCGGCAACTGATGGAGTAGTTGTTTGATTGGAGATGTCTTCAGCTGATTTCTAAAGCCATTTCCTCCAGTTGTCCATCTGCTTGCAGTGCAAGGACAGCTGGGATGCTCATGGGGTGAGCAAAGCCATCTCACAGCCACACTCTCTTCTCCTTTCACAGAATCATAGCATGGCCTTGGTTGGAAGGGACCTCAAGGATAATGAAGCTCCAACCCCAATGCTGTAGGCAGGGCTCCACATATAAAACCAGACCAGGTTGCCCAGGGCCTGGCCTACAGTCAACCTGGCCTTGAACACCTCCAGGGGCATCCACAGCCTCTCTGGGCAGCTGTTCCAGCACCTCACCACTCTCTCTGTGAAGAACTTCCCTCTGATAACCAACCGAAATCTTCCCTCCCTCAACTTCAAACCATTTCCCCTTCCAAAGCCAGTGAGTCCTTCACCCCGTGCTCATTCCGTCCACCAGCCTCTCCTCCTTTGAAGAGGAGGAAGAAACAAAGCAGAGGGTAACTTGAAGAGAAGCTCCAAAAACTAACAGCCTCCGCCATCGGTGCCAATATTTTTTCAGGAAGTCGTAACTTTACACAGAGAAAATTCCAAAGATTTAGAAACCTGGAAGTACTACAGAAGACAGTTTGCTGCTCAGACTCCATCCAAACTGCGGGGACTGCAGGCCTGCAGAGCTGGAGACGGGAGAAGCGCGGGGTCTGACAGGGCTACAGGCAGCAAATACTCCACTAAAACCCAAATAAAAACTGAGGTCATGCTCCGAACTTTAGAAACAAAGATTAGGTAATAAAGAGCACAAAGCTCAAGAAAGCTGCTCATCTGAAAAATATGCAAAACAACTACATAAAAGTGATTAACTCCAACATCTTAAAGAGGCAGAAGAGAAAAAAAAGCCGCCTCTGTTGCTGCTGAGTACAGCTTTCCCAGAGGAGCCACCCATGGCCTGCAGGTCCCAGCAGCTGCAGTCAGTCACAGAGCTCCTGCTGGGGCTGCAGCAAGCAGCAGGGCTGGGTAACACCAAACCCTCACCTCTGCCTCCCACACAGACATATCTCAATCTAAACAACAAAAGCTGGGCTTTAAAATGGAGTGTTACCTGAAATATCAGTAATCGTATCCCCTGTTCTGGAATGGCACCCAAGGGCACCAAAGCTAACGTATGCTCCTCATCAGCCTGAGAGAGGCACCTTGTGAAATAGGACTGCCTGTTCTCCTCGTGCTTCTTTAAGAATACAAATGGGGGTTTGGTTCATCCCGCAAACCCACGAGCACAGTTTCCTTTTTGTGGTGTGACGGCTCTCCCTTCTTAACTTGCTCAGAAAACTACTGCCAAGAACAGACCAGCACCTCCAAGAACTGTCAGAGTTCTGAGATAAAAGCTTGGCAGGCTGATGAGTGCACACACATCTCTCAGACCAGCCCTGCACTGGTTGGCCCCAGCAGGATATGGGAGCTGCTGGGGCTTGTGAAGGCAGGAACAAAGGGCAGCTGCCTCACTGTGCATCATCCAACCAACAGAAATGTCACAAGAACATCTT